ATATTTCAATAAGTGCAAAATAAAAATTATCAGTTACATAAAAAAGAACATTCAGAATACAGAAACATAGAAAATGTTTAAATATATTAAGAAATAACAGTTCAAAATACTGTGTACTAATTAACTATGTAAATTATGTGTACATGTGGAAGATAATTCCAAAAAAAAAAAAAAATCATACTATGTTATAAATGGGATTATAAACTTTAAAAACCTCTATTATAAAAAAAAATCAGTAAATTTAAGAGTCTATGAAAAATCATTAAATTTTTAACAACAGATGATAAAAGTTGGATTTGAGAAAAATGATTTTGGAAACCATGTGTGTTTATATGAGCCCAGGTAGGGGGCACCGGCCCAGCCTTGCAAGTCTTGGCTCATTCTCCTCTGCAACAATAGTATCTATTAGGACAGAAGCTGGATTTCCAGCAAAACTTAGGGATCGTTTCTGAAGAGCACGTGTGTGTAGCAGAGGTGGAGGAAGTGAGAAACGAGGTTTTCTGGGAGGTGTGGTGGCTTGGCAGTATCGGGGGAAACCCTTCTTAGTTGCTCTGGTGGGTGGCTGGAAAATCCCACCTTGTGATTTTCGATAAACAAAGACCAATAGCTGCTGGGATCAAGATGTCCTTGGAGTTGGACGTTGAAACAGTTGATATAGGCAGAAAGAGAAAGAGAAGAAGCACATTCTCAAAGATCTGCGAGGGCTTTGGGGAAGCGTCCTGGGAATGTGAAAAGTTGGCATATGGGTTAGAGGAGAGAGATAAAGGGTAGCTCTTTTCAAAGCCTTTGGCCAGGAGTCCCAAATTTACAGCTATGCTATAGGCTGAATTACCCTAGCTACAAAGAGCTTAATCTCATGACTCTGTAGACCATGCTTTATCTTTTGTGCTTCTCCTAATCTTGTTTTATGCACCTCTCCTCCATCCTCTCTCATCTCCCCAAAGGGCTTCTTCAATATGCACATAATTTATCTGCCGTGCAGGGTGTTAGCTGAGCAGACCTGCAATTTACACAAATGCCACCAAAGTAAAGTGGAGGNTGCAGGGTGTTAGCTGAGCAGACCTGCAATTTACACAAATGCCACCAAAGTAAAGTGGAGGTGGGGACTTGCCCACCATAGTGTGCTCTGCCATACAGTTTCTCTGCATTTCCTTTTCTATCTTGACTCTTCATCAAGAGGTGCATGCATAAATATCTACATATTTCAAAGCAACAGGTCTCTTCCTACAGAGGAAGATATCAATTGGGGCGGCAAGTCAATACCCCTATCAGATAAAGGCCAATATTTTTAACGGCAATATTCATCACCATAGTAGCAATTCTGCTGCTGCAAGTGCAGTGAGGCAATGGATGGTTGATTACTAACCAGTGTCCCAAACTTGAAGTCTACATACACATATAAGAATAAAGATGACAAAGTGATCTTTTGCCAATAGAAATATAAGATCACTCATGGGATAGTCATGATGGAGTGGAGTCTTCTGAGCACAGATAACATATGCTATGGTGGGAAGAAGCAAGGTTCCTCAAAATTTTGAAGTCAGACCATTGTGGCTGGCAAGGCGAGAATGGGAAGAGGGATGCTGGAGAGAGCAGTAGGGGACAGGCTGGGTATGGCTTTGAGGTCCATGTAAGGAATTTTGACTTTTATACTTAGAGTGATGGGAAGCCACTGACACTTTTAAGCTGGGTAGTGACTTGATCAGATTTGCACTTTGGAAAGGTCACTGCGATTACTGTGAGGAGAAATGTTTAGGAAGGGGGTTGTTAATATGTGACCTTATATCACTTCCTGTCTTTTGCTGCAGGATCTATAAAATGAGATTAGAGGGGATATTTTGACAGACACCTTCCCATTAGAAATATCCATGGCAGGTGGATACGGCAATGCACTACCCAGACACATATTCCATGAAGAACTTGTTGCCCCCGTTGCTGACAGTGCTGTCCACAGACAGCCTTCAGCTAGTGGTGACTTTGGAAATTGTCTCAGGTGCAGAGAACTCACTTACCCAAGGTGATGCTCTTCCCAGAGCC